AGAACCGATTAACACTTAAAGAAAACCCGGTAATCTGATTTTGTATTCCTAGAATTAAATCACAGATGGAGTTAAAACTGGAGGGCTCAGAGGTCTTCAAAGCCACTCTTTACATGAGAACGTAATGCTCTGTATTGCTACATATAAACAGTTAAACTGACCCTTATAAACTAGTGAGTATTAAATATAATCAATAATATTAAAATACAAGACAATCACAATGCAATGCAATGAGTTATTAGAAATACAAAATTAAAACGTTTGCATATGGAATATGTAACAAGTTAATATTTCAATATAAACTATAAACAGATATATGAAATAAGTATTTTAACATAAATGGATTATATAGAGATACAAATGAACTTAAATATCATGTCTTCGGACTGTCAACTAAGGCTGTGACTAAGAATGAGCACACAACAAACGTCAGCTTTGTTTAGCTGAACGATGTTCCAGAGCAATCACAACCGAGAGAGTTTCTCCTTTCTTTCTGACAATTTCAGAAACAAAGCTTTGACATACATTTCTCTAATTTTATTTCCATGACACCAAGAACTCCGCACCTTCACTGCGTCCTCAATCACACATCATCTGATTAGGGACATGCACTCTGTCCTGACGTGTGTCACAAGAAAAGTTGTCTTTTTTCTGATCACTTCTATAGACAGACTTGTGCAGCGAGCTGAGAACACAGTTTTTCTCAGCTGACCTTTGTAAACAGTCCACATTCCCCAAGGCTCTGGTGTGTACTGGAGAGCAGCTGCAGTATGTGTAAATAAAGTCACGGTATAAGTCCATTACCACACTAATGGCACCTTATAATAGATGTGTATGATTAACTATCTGTGTGGAGTTTGTATGTGTTACGACAGCCAAAATGAAAGCTGGACCCTGTGCTGTCAACCCTATGCAGAACAGGTTTTAGTGAAAACCGGGTGTACTTATCCAAAAGCGAGCAGTCGAAGTAAACACATGAGGTTCAGGAAGCAAACAGCAGACAGGTAACAAGGAAACTCTTAAGCAAGGAGCTCCAGTGTTCCAGGAAACCCAACACTGAGCACTGGGATGTTGAGAAAGAGTCCTTAAGTACTCTGGTGTGGTGGTGACTGACTGGGTGATTAATGAATGCTTCTGCGTTTGCAGAGATTAGAGGAGCTCGTGTCTGATTGTGTGAGGCTGTGACAGTACAGTACTGTATGTTCGCCCTGTGTTCATGTGGGTTCCCACTAGGTGCTCTGGTTGCCTCCCACAGTCCCACAGACATACTGGTACTGTAGGTTAACTGGCTTCTGGGAAAAATTGGCCATGGTGTGAGTGTGTGTGGGTGTTTGTACCCTGCGATGGACTGGCGTCCTGTCCAGGGTGTCTTGCCTGGTGCCCACTGCTTGCTGGGATAAACTCCAGCTCCCCTGTGACCCTGAACTGGATCGAAGGGTTAGGAGATGGATGGACAGACTGAAGGGTGATTTACCGAGCCTACTGTATCACAGTGGTCTGGAATAAGGGTTGACCATGCTTGATACTGAAACGCAAACAGTATCAGAAAGATTGAGGATAAAGAAAGACAATCTGTTTCCCTGCAGGAGCACACTCTTCTTCACCCTCATCCTCTCAGGGAAGACAGGGGAAGGAACACCAGAGAGACTCCAGTGGATGTGGTCACACCACGCCTCTGAAAGAGGGCTGCTTATCCGAGGACACGACCAGCGGGAAGCACCACAGCTCTGAACCGAAGTCCCTCCCTCTGCTGTGCCGGGCTGGCGTGCTAGTGATAATATCCCTCACAAAACAGGCTGCGGTGCATCATTGTCACCTGAAGGAATGAGGAGCGAAGCCACAACTATGAGCCCATACCCCAGAGGACCGCTGTGTCTTCTGGTGTTTATCCCCAACTAGCCTCGCTGAGCCTCTTGCTAAATTAGACCTTTGAAATTTTTCCTTTCCTCAGTCTCTGGCTTCAAAACACTTGATTGCAGACCTGCCGTGGAGAAGACATTCAACAAACAGAGCTTCCTCCATTTTCTCTCCCAGCTCCCTTACTAAAAGGCTGCTGCCTTGTTTCTATCTAAACCGCTCTTACCAGGTGAACAGATAATGGTGTCCACGCACAGGTGCAGGTGCTCCACGCACACAGCACGTCCTGAGCCTCACAACCAAGCACATTCATGAGCCTCGCTCGGAACGGAACACACGGCGGGGCCGGACCCTCTGTAGCAAAGCACAGTGATATCTCAGTAAAAGGAAGGTGAGTTTGACCCAGGCACACTAGATCCAAATCGTGGTCCAGCGTAGAAAAACTAAAGCGAGCTTGCAACACGCCAATAGCGCTAACACGCGTGGGAAACGGAAGATCACCCGCGAGTCAACGAGGTAAGGCTGGGTTTAATTCACCTAAACCAATTCAAACTGATTCGACACTGAACGATGTTGCCGGGTCTGATTGATTCAATATTTTGGCAATTAAGAAACTCATCATCGTGATCCGAAGACACGACAGGAAAAAAAGTTGTATTTTTTGTGATCCAGGAGCATACGGTATACCACTATTCCCACACAACAACACCAAAAATAATAACAACAACAATAACAACATGCAAGGTATTTCATTCCTTCTTAAAAAT